TTTTGATTCATAACTGATTTTGAAGAAGATTTTCTCACAAACCTTCTTTTATTTTAAACTGGTTTTAAAAAAAAAGGACCCAATCTGCTCTGCTATTCAACCCACAACTTGGTAAGATATTTTACAATAGAGAAATGTAATGAACCTGACTCCCAAACTCAGGCCCACTGACCACCCCATGAATAAAACCATTTTCCTAACCGTTTTTTCCCCATAAGTGAACAGAGGATGAATTCTCTTTTCCCTTAAGTAGTTTGGAAATGATTCTGAAAATCAAATTTATCATTTGTTAATGAATTATGTATAAATCACAAAAGTCCTTGGATTTTCTCAATTTCTGAAATGAACTATGTTGTTATTAATTCATCTTTTTTGTTATTAAACTTTCTTTTCATCTTTTGTTGCTGCTTTCTTAACAATTGTAGAATGTGCAACAAATTAAACAATGTAATGAAAGCAGCCAAAAATACGATGAAAAGAACAACTAATAAAAATATTATTCACAAGAACACTCAAGAAATCTAGACAAATTACATGTTTTAGATTCTTACAGGGAAAGTTTAAAATGGACATTTAAAAAAACCTTCTTCCATTTAATTACTCAAAACGTTTTTCAACTTATTCAAATAAATCAAAATATTTCCAATATTTAATTGGATTTTGGTTGAAATTTGTTCCAGTTTTGATTCGTTTTTTATACAGCTTATCAATCAGGTTATTTAAAGCCAGAAGATATTTTTAGATTGTAAGAATTTTATTTTTTAGATAATAATGGTTTTGTGATACAAGTCTTACTAATTAATCCATAACTGAGGAAGAAGAGGTAAATTCATACCTTTGCCCAATGGTATTTATGCATAAGTGAATATAATGAGCCCAATGGGAATTGGAACTCAGCTCTCTAATTAAGAAATCTACACCATTTTCTATTATGCCACCTGCACATCCAAGACTACAGCACTTGATATTCCCAAGCAATCATCTATCTAGGTACTGACCAGTCTCGACATTGCTTAACTTTGGCGATCTTATTCAGACATCTCAGTACTGGAAATGTACAAGATGTGTTTTCACTCATAATTTCATAGGTACAATGGCTTACTGTATCAGTAATGTGTGTATAAATTTCTGGTCACTGACAATCACTTTCTTCTGAATGAATTTATATAGTAAAATCATTAACAATGTATTTACATGATACATATAGTATCCCTATTTTATTAGTAAAAATTGCATTAATTCCTGACTACTGGCAATCTCTTTCTTGCTAATACATTTCTATAGTTATAAGTTATTGACATTTGGAAAAACGTTCATGAAAGTATGTTTCGAAAAATAATATCTGATAATGCATTTCACCTCTAATGGCTTCATCACATAGATAATGAAAAGATGTGTTGTGTGTGTATGCATTTGTGTGTGTTTAAATTAATTATTCTTATTAATAATATGTTCTGCTGGAGAATTACCATAGAGGTCCAAGAGGGCCAGAGTGGCATATCCTAAGTTTGTGCATAAAAAGAACAAATTGTGAGCAAGGTGAACAATATGCGTATCAGTGCTGGAATGACATAATGCATGTATCACGGAGTCAGACTGAGCTTGGTAGCATACGTGAAATGCTAATTTTCTGGCTTCAGAAAAATGCATAAAGGAGGCAAGTGTTTGTTGGGAGGACAGTAAGTGTTTGCGCTCAGTGCAAGTCAGAGTGGTATGTGCTAAACGAGAGTCCCTGGCTGGTGTTGTTCCAGTTTCTGTGCTACAGAAGAAATGGTTTCCTGCAACAAAGATAGAATGGCCTTACTCTATCAGTAATGTGTGCATAAATATCTGGTCACTGACAATCATTTTCTTCTTGATTTTCAATGCATTTCTATAGGGAAATCATTAGCAATGATACATATATCCCTATTCTATGAGAAACAATTGCATTAAATTCTGACTACTGACAGTCCCCTTTTTTCTGATTTCTAATGCATCTCTATAGTGAAATCATTAGCAAATCATTTAGACAATACATATTATTTTCTTAGTAAGAATTGCATTAATTCCTGACCACTGACAATCTCTTTCTCCCTAAATTCCATGCAAACTAAAATAAGTCTGATGTCAAAAATTGCAAAATTCATTTATTATTGCAGGAAATAGATGAGTGTGTGTGTGTGTGTGTAGAAGAGTACAAGAGGGTGTGTGTGTGTGTGTGTGTGTGTGTGCATGCATAGAAGGGTGTAAGAGGGAGTGAGTGTGTAGAAATGTGCAAAAGGGAACCAACAATGTGTGAAATTGTGCAACCATGTGTGTGTGTGTGTAGAAGAGTGTAAGAGGGAGTGAGTGTGTAGAAATGTGCAAAAGGGAGTGAGTGTGTAGGAGGGTGCGAGAGAGAGCGAGAGAGTGTGTGTGTGTGTGCGTGTGTGTGTGTGTGTGTGATATAGTAATGATAAAATCAGTGGATATGAATAGCCAAAACTTTGTCTCCATATACGAGATTCCAATCCAGCTGGTGTTAAAAGCAAACTAAGATTACATTATTGTTTCTGTTTTCTCTCTTCATCTACTAATGGTCAGAAGTGTATGTTGATATGTAATCATTAGAGTGAATGAAAATTTTGACATTTCTCTTTAATGAATCCTATCCGTGATATCATGGATTCTGTAAACAGTTAATTTTAGTTAATAACAGTATTATCACCTCTCGGTTGGTATTGATATTTGAAATAATGTTAAAAGGTGATAGTTGCTGAACTTTCAGAACTATAAAGCTATCTTTTTTTTTAAACAGATTGAAATTTTCTATTTTTTTTTTTAAACTGTTTCACTAAAGGTGACTCTTCTTTAATCTATTCTTGTTTTATAATTAGTCTAAGAAAACAGCAGTTCTCTCCCAGTTATGTAGAATAGACAAAACGGAAACACATATATAAATAAGAAGACAGATGGTTTGTAGATCTGGAAGCAGCGGCCAGGAATTCATTCTGTAAAAGTAATCAAATAATAGCAACTTAATTCCAAAATCTTTTATTCTAGTGGTGTGCCTTAATTAGTTCGAAAAATGCCAGCTTCACTGGAGGGTTTTTTTTTGTTTTTTTTTCAATTCTTTTATTTTAAATTACATTACAAGAAGGGTATCATTTGGAATTGCACAAAGTAAATATTTTAATCTTTCTTTCTTTCTTTTGTTTGCTTACACTTCATTATTGCTCACTTTCTTTTCACCTTATTTTTCCCCCCTCTATCACTTTTACTCTTTCCCTTTTTATTACTCACTCATGCTTACACTTTTTTCAAATGTTCTTCATCACATACACTCTTACAGTCTCTTGTTTTTGTACACTTTTACATTCTATCTCTCACACTCTTCTACACACACTCACTCACTCTTTCCCTCTTCTACAGACACACACATAAACAAACATTCTTCTCTCTCTCTCTCTCCCCCCCATCTTCTACACACACACTGTCTCTATCTCACTTATGCACACACACGCACACTCTGTCTCTTCCTCTCTTCTACATGCACACACTCTCTCTCTCTGTCTACTCAACTTCTACACATACACACACTGTCTCTATCCCATTTCTGTCACTTCCCCTCTTCTATACACACTCTCTTTCTTCCTCTTCTCATCTTCTACACAGATTCTCTTGCACTCTTTTAGAGACACACTCTCTCTTGCAGCCTTTTACACACACCCACCCTCTTGCACTCTTTACACACACTCTTCTAGAGATGCACTCTCTCTTACACATTTATACACACACACACACACACACACAATCTCTTGCATTCTTCTAGACACACATACTTGCTCTCTTCTACACACACACTCTCTCTCTCCCTCTTACACTCTTCTACATACTCACTCTCTCTTGCACTCTTCTACACACTCTCTTTTGCACATTTCTACACACTCACTCTTTCTTACACTCTTCTACGCAGACACAGTCCCTCTTGTACTCTTCTACACACACACGCTTCTAAACACTCTCTCTTTCTTGCACTCTGCTACACACACTCTTTCTGTTGCACTCTTGTACACAAACACTCTCTTTCACTCTTCTGCACACATACTCGCAATCTCTTATACACACACTCTCTCTTTCATTCTTCTACACACACACACTCTTACACTCCCATACACACTCTTGTACACACACACTCTCTCTTACACACTTTTACACACACACTCACTCTTGCTCTCTTCTATGTACAATCTCTCTCTTGGTCTCTTCTGCACACTCTCTCCCTTGCACTCTTCTATACATACACTCTCTCTTGTACTCTTCTACACACCCACAATCTCTCTTACATCTTACACCCTTCTACACACACACACTCTCTCTCAAGGACTCTTCTACATGCTGTCTTCTACACACTCTCTTTCTCTTTTCTACACACTCTCTTTATCTCTTACATACTCACTCTCTCTTGCACTCTTCTACACACATTCACTCTCTCTTGCACTCATCTACACTCTCACTTCCAATCTTCTACCATTCTTTCTCTCTCTGGCCCTCATACACACACATACACTCTCTCTCTCACTTCTACTCTCACCCTCTCTCTCTTTTGAACTCCTCTCTCTCATCTGTACCTTTCTACAATCTCTCTCACTTCCACTCTCTATGGTATCTTTTATTCACTCATCTACATTTACCCTCTCTCATGCATGCTCTCCTATACTCTCTCTATCTCTATACACACTTTCTGTCTGTTCCTTTCCTACACACCCTTTCACACAGTCTTCTACAAAATTCTCTCTTCTCCTCTTCTACACACACACCCTCTCTCTCTTCCCTTCTATATTATCTTCCTCTTCTATACTCTCTCTCTCACTAACTCTCTTGTACTCTACTACACACTCACTCTCTTGCACTCTTATACATATTCTCTCTCTTGCTCACATTCTCTCTTTTGCTCACACTCTCTCCCTTGCTCTCTTCTTCAAACTCTCTCTTACTCTCTTCTACACACACTCTCTTTCTTACACTTTTCAACATGCATGCTATCTCTTTTACTCTTCTACACACAGACACTCTCTATCTCTCACTTTTCTACACACTCTCTCTCTTGTACTCTTCTGCACTCTCTCTTGTTCTCTTCTGCACAGTCTCTCTCCCATCCTCTTCTACACAATCCCTCTTTCTCCCTATCTTCTACACTCTTTCGCCCTTTTCTATTCTTCTCTCTCTCCCTCTCATTTCTTCTACGCACTCTCTTTGACACTCTTTCTCACCATCTTCTACACTCCCTTTTTCTCTCTCACCATCTTCTACACTCCCTTTTTCTCTCTCACCATCTTCTACACTTTTTCTTTCTTCCTCCCACTCTTCTACATTCTCTTTATTTACCATGTGCTTCTACACTCAGTTTCATACCTAAATACACTCTCTCTCACTCTCTTCTACACTCTTTCTATCTCTCTTGCCTTCTTCTACACTCTTTCTATCCATCTCACCCTCTTCTACACTCTTTCTTTCTCTCTCACCCTCTTCTACACTCTTTCTTTCTCTCTCACCCTCTTCTACACTCTTTCTTTCTCTCTTGCACTCTTCTACACTTTCTCTCTCTCACCTTCTTCTACACTCTCTCTTGCACACTTCTGCACTCTCTCTCCTCTCTGGGGAAATCATTTTTTCTCTATCTTTCTCTCTTGTCTCTTCTAAACAAAAAATGTCTCTCTTGTACTTCTTTTTCCCTCCTCTTATATCTCTCTCTTTAAAAAGAACATTCTATATTCTCTCTCTTGGGACCTGATAAAACCCTTGCACTAAATCTACATTCTCTTTTGCACTCTTCTACACTCTCTCCCATCCTTTTCTACACAGTCTCTCTCTCTCATCTTCCTCGACAAGGATGTCTCTTTTTACCCTCTTCTATTCGATTCTTGTTCTCTCCCTAATCTCTCACTCTCTTCTCTCTCTCTTGTCATTTTTTACACTGTTTTTCTTTCTTGCCTTCTTCTACACTTTTTCTTTCTCCCACTCTTCTACACTCTCTTTATTTCTTGTGCTCTTCTACCCACTCTCATACTTTTCTACACTTTCTTGAAAAACAGTTTCTCTCTCTCTCTCTTGCCCCCTCTGCACTCTCCCTTACCCTCTTCTACACTCTTTCTCTCTCTTGCCCTCTTCTACACTCTTTCTTTCTCTCTCACACTCTTCTATACTGTTTCTCTCTCTCTCTCACCTTCTTCTATATTCTCTCTAAACTCTTTCTCATGCTCTTCTACACTCTCTCTCATACACTCTTCTACATTTGTGCTTTTCTACATTCTCTCTCTTGTCACTTTCGCCTACACTTTCTCTCTCTCTCTTGCACTCTTCTACACTCTATCTCTCTCTCACCCTCTAAACTCTTTCTTATGCTCTTCTACATTCTCTCTCTCTCGCACACTCTCTTTCTCTCTCTCATACTCTTCTACACTCTCTTGTGTCCTTCTATCTATCTCTATGTTTTGTGCTGGCATTCAGTTTTCTCTCTTCCAAAATATCTTCGACCTCCATTTCTTTCCCTGTTTTTAATTTGACCTTCCTATTTTCTAAATTCTCTAAAATAATGAGTCTATTTTATGCAATTCTCTCTGCAGACATTCTTTTTTTCTTGAAGTTTTACACTTCATAAGGTTTTCATTTTTTAAGCTTTAGGTTAATTAGTTGGGAATTTTAATTAACAGTGACACTTAATTCATTCAACAGATGATTTGATTCTAAACAACAGATACACTAATTTATTCAGGCTAAGCCAAGTTTGGCATAATACTATATTTTTTACAAATTTATTTTCAATAGCATTACTATTTTTATATTTTCAAATTTTGAACTATACATATTTATATAGAAAATTATTCAACATGAAATTACCAATTTTCTTTTATATATTTTGTAATATAATTTGGTCTTTGCAACAATTGTATAGTCACAACATCAAATATTATATGAAAAAATTTCTTGTTGAACTTTTAACATGTTTATTACTGATTTATTTTTGTCATAGTAGAAAAAATGTAACTTTTTTATGGTTGAAAACATCACATGGTTATTTAACACAGAATTTGAGGTCAAACAAGGTGCAAGGCTTGTGTTATTTTTTTTTCATTTTTAAAAAAAAATGTTTGAGCCTTTTTCCCACTTCCACAGTGTACATTGTAATTGTTGTAGAGTAGTTTTCACAGTGGAGGCTTGTATTTCACTAAGTCGTCCTAAATTAGCTTCAACGTACAAAACATTAGGAACTTGAAATAAGAGTTAATGACGCAGCAATCTAGTTGTGATGGTTGATACTTCAATGTCCGACATCAACTGACTCGCTCAACACCACTGAGCTCAACTGGCCACTGCTACTACTACTTATTATCTGTGGGAGAGTCTACAATAGAATAGGTAATGTTCAGGTATAACAGTAATGCATGTCCTCGCCTTCAGAAACGATATGAACTCAAGAAGCAAGAAAAATGAATCAGAATCATAAATGCTTTCATTTCCAAATCCCCATCAGTAGAGGGTGTGATGGATAAATTGTCAACATTTTATATTTTTAATTATTTTCCCCACTAGTTTCTTTCTATGGTAGATTGTCAACCAGGGCTCTGTAGACCAGTTTCTTCTGATATCCAACCCATAGCTGGGGGGGGGGGGAGAAGAGGTGGATTCATACCTTTCCCAAGGGTATTTATGTGTAAGCGAATGTAACAAACTTGGCTGAAATTCAAAATTGCTTCTCCAATTTCTCATTCCAAGCTGCTATCTATTACACCAGCCACACATCCTTTACACTACAACACACATAAAGTGAATTTAGATAAAAATGTCACATGGGGAATGAGAAGGAAAGAAATGGCACAATTAATTTTGCTAATCTTTATACTAATTTATTTAAATTTTACTAACCTCCCCCCACCCCCAAAGAAAAAATCTTGCTGCTCAGGGTGTACTGTCCTTCTCACTCTACTCTAGGTCTTCAGTGTTTATTACACTCATTAACAGTAGTAAATGAGACAGTTTGTTAACCATTACACCAAACCTCTTTCAAAGCAACTACTGATTCACAAGTGCAACCCAATACAATTGCACTTAAGTGCAGCTGTTATTAGTTTATAATAAACAAAGCAACACATTCTGAATGACTCATGTGGTCACTAACTATCACTAGGGGATCATAGTAAGGTAGGTATTTGTTTCATTCACTTACAGGGTGCGATGTGTAAATTGTTGCCATTTTATATTTTTAATTTTGCATATGTGTGTTGTTTGTTTTTGATTTTGTCGACAACACAGTATTATAGGGCCAGTGAGGAAAAGAGCACCATGACGCAATTCACTCCATCTGAAATTAGGAAACAGCATGCTGTGCTGCTTGGCATTCATGCAGAAAGCGCCGATATGAACATTTCAGAGTATTTGTGTGTCAATCGTGCAGAGGATTCAGAATGAGTTGGATGAGTCTAATGGTGATTACAAAGGTACAGCAGCTCAGAAAGCCGTTCTTATTGTGGTGATAAGAAAAGAACTGCTGAATTTGTTGGTTAGGGCATCAGACTCAGCACAGAGGCCTACATCAAGTGTCTTGAGGAGGTAATCCTACCCTGGATCAAGAGGGTGGCTGCTGGAAGACTCTTTGTCTGGCAAAAGGAACCTGCACCATGCCACACTAGCAGGAGAACCCAGTCATGTCTGTCAGACCCTATCACTTCTTACATCTGGCCACCTAATTCCCCAGACTTCAACCCCCTTGATTATTATCTGTGGGGTGCAGTTGAGCAAGAGACCAACAAAACTCCTTGTAACACCAAAGATGAACTGAAGGCAAAGATTATGGCAGGAGACTGTCCAGAAGAGTTACAGGAGATTCCAAAGTCTTCTGGAGGCTGTTCTTGAAGCCAATGGCAGTTTTATTGAATAAATTTATTGTTTAGTATTTCAAGATATTTTTGTGTAATTTTGGTAAATATATCTGTTAAAATGAGATGTCAGTTTTATTTTCATTTTTGCCTAATTTAGATGACAATTTAATCATCGCACCCTGTATATGGTAGTGTATCCCTAGTTAGTCACTTGATTTATGATGTCATGTTCTCCTTTAATCATACTGAATATAACTAAAATATTCTTTGATCATGCAAGTCGTGTTTCTTTGGTCATATTGTTAAGAGAATATTTTTTATGAATTAAACTTCTCCTACTTCTGGGTCATTTGATGTGGGCGGATGACCTTACCAGTGAAGTTTTTCATTTGGGTATTCATATTTGTTGATTGGTGCCAAAATTAAGCTAGACCCTTGGCTAAATTTTTTGTATTTACTCACCCCCCCCCATGAGGTCAGGTTGCGACACAAGTTCAGTTTAATGTAAGTAGCCTGAGTGCATACACCTGGGCTAGAAACAAAAATTCCCCAAGTTTCTGCAACTGTCAGTTGTGCTGGCCTCAGTGCAAGCACTGATCCTTCTCTCTGGCGCAATGTGAGGGTATGACCTTGGGCAGATGTTCCCCAGGGCTGGCACCTCTCAGTATAATTTTCCTCAGCTGTGACTCTGTCCTTTAAAAAAAAGTTGCCCTGAAAACATAAATGTCAAAGACAGAGACACAACTTTCTTGGCTAATTTTGCTGAAAAACTACTTCAATGTTTTACTTTACAACCCTTTGCTAACCTGACATATAAACTATAACACAAAACCTAGCAACTTTCTAACTTCTTGCTGGTAAGCTTTTTATGTTTTTTTTTTTTTTGCCTTTTCAGCCACTGACCAAATGTCTAAAATTAAAATAAAACCTTTTTTGCTTACTATAAAACCTAGTTGGTTTTCTTGTCGTTCAATTTGCTTTTCTTTATCTTTTCTTTTTTCACACATGTGACACATATCATATTCCTGAATAATATCTTAGAGCTTGTTTGAGTATAATGTTCTTTGTTTGTCTTGTACAAGAATAAACAGACCCTTCTCTCTGTTCACACATCGATATCCAACAGAGATTTAGCCACATGAGAAACATGGATCTTGTGGATTCATTCTGACTATTTTAGAGAGCTGACAAAATTTACACCACAAAGATGAGCTTGACACAGAATTAAAGTCTTTTATATTGAAACAGAAGATCAAAAAAAGACTGAATGGAATTCCCCCTCCCCCTTCACCAATAGTGGGATTAAGAAGTATTTTTGTACTTCAATGTTTTGTTTCTTTACTAATGTTTGCTTCTGCTCAATCTCAGCTTCTGCTAACTTCACATGTCCTATGTCATTATTTGAGGTTTTCTGGTTATCCATACAAAAACTGAGATTTTCTATTTAGCCATAATATTCAAGCCCACACGTATGCACTCATAGAATTCAACATCATAGTATAAATAAACAGAATTTTAATTTCAACTTAGGATTTTCACATTTCACCAAAAGATCTTCAAGTAAGAGAAATTCTACATTTATGGAAAAAACAGTTAATGAAGGAACAGCATGATTTTGGATTTTCAATAAAAATCATGGTTTTCAATAAAAATTGAAACTGTATTATCTATGATTCAAAATCATTTGTTCATTAGTTTGAAGGTTCAAATTTCAATTTATGAAACAAAGAGATCAGATTAAACCTCAATTTCTGAAATCAGCCCCCCAAATCTCAGAACTTGCAACAAAATAGAATGAATCTGACAAATATCAGAGAAGTATTTTAAGAGTCAGATTCAAGGGGAACAGAGAAGGAATTTAAGAGTCAGATTCAAGGTGAACAGAGAAGGAATTTAAGGATCAGATTCAAGGTGAACAGAGAAGGAATTTTTTTTTCAAAGATTCAAATAATAGAGAAGGAATTTAAGAGTCAGATTCAAGGTGAACAGAAAATATTTAAGGATCAGATTCAAGGGATTTGTATTTAAGAGTCAGATTCAAGGTTTCAAAGAGAAACAAAAAAAAAAATAAAAATTTAGAAGGAATCAGATTCAAAATGTTATTCAAAAGGAACAGAGTAAGAATTTAAAGGTTAGATTCAAGGGGAACAGAGAAGGAATTTAAGAGATTAAAAGGGATCAGAGAAGGAATGTAAGAGTTAGATTCAAGAGAAACAGAGAAAGAATTTAAGGATCGGATTTAAGGTAAATAGAGAAATAATTTAAAGGTTAGATTCAAGTGGAACAGAGAAGAAAATTAAAGATCAGATTCAAGGTGAACAGAGAAGGAATTTAAGGATCAGATTCAAGGTAAACAGTGAAGGAATTTAAGGGTTAGATTCAAGGGGAACGGAGAAGGAATTAAAAGATTAAAGAGGAACTGAAAAGGTTTGTGTTGGAGTCACATTAGGTCTTAGTTTGAGTCTTGCCAAAAGCTTTATTTCTGATTCACTGTTTATTAATAGCTGTAAAATGATCACCTGATGAGTTGCTATGAAAAGCAATCGAAATTAAGATGAAAGAATGACTTGTCCAAAATTAATATTTGTATTTTTCATGTTTAACAACCTGAAGTCACAAGATCTTTTTCTTTCATTTTTCTTTTTGATATTTGATTGTTTTGTTTTAATCTACATGAGATTAACAAC